AGCAGAAATTTTGAATAGTTTGGAGAACTGGCAAATAGTCTGGCCCCGCCCACGCTGCCTCCCAGCCGATCTTCTTTTGTTGCCCTGAACAGGAGGATGGAGCTGGAAAGCAGGCTAGTGGGGTGGGGAGGGAATGGGGATTTTTCAATATCCTTCCCCTGTCATGCCCACAAAGCCATGCCACATCCACAAAACTACACCATGCCCACAGAACCGGTAGTAAAGTTTTTTGAATCCCACCACTGAAGCAAAGTGATACATTTAACTGAATATACTATTCCAAAAGATTGATATGGAAGCTTTGAAGCACAAAAGGAGCAGAACAAAACATTATAAAGCATTAGTAAAGAATAAAGCAGTAGTGGGTTTCAAATAATTTAACAACCGGTTCTCTGCCATAATGACCAGCTGGGTAGGAATAGTTAGGTGGTCATATGACAATGTGTCTGTGGCCAACTCACGTTGATGGGTGTTTCACCTTAGCTGTTACAATGTAATAAGGGTTAACCGGAGAGTAAGTTTCTGTAAGCAGGGCAATAAAGATGAGGCTAGAAACAACACCAGAATTTTTCCTTACAGGATTAGCCCTGTAAAGTGGGAAAAAAAATAAAATAAGATTTCTTCCAACAACTGGTTCTCCGGACTGCTTAGAAAGTTCTCCTGAATAGCTGCGAACCGGCTGAATCCCATCACTGGAATAAAGTGATGTGTTTAAATGGTTAATGTAATCATGACCACAGTGTTGTCAATAAGAATAAGAAGCAGAATAAGACTTAAGCAAGACTCTTATCAGATTAAAAAAAATTCAACTGTAACTGAAGTCCAAATTATGCAACCTCCTTGCCAAATATTGTGAACAAGTGTACAATCAAGAAATATAAAGGAGCAAGTTTGAAAGATCTCACTCCATGTCGCCCAGCTTTTAGAGGGTCTCATATCAACACAGGCTCAGTTTGTCATCAGCGAGAATGAAATGTGGGATCAAGTAGCTCCCACTAAAGTTTATAATAGTCCCCATTCAAATCTTTTGTGGTTAATCTAAAGGGATGTTATTACAGGTGAAATGCAAAATATGGGTCTCGTGGATGCTTTATTGACTTAGCAGTTAGAGAAACCCATATGGAGAGGCATATTCATACGTATTTGCTTTTCTGGCTGCAAAGAGCCTCCTAGGTTTACCGTTCCCAGTCATCTTGGCACTCTCTCTGTTCTGATAGGCTTTGCTTTTACAATGAGTTAAACATTGCAAGCACAAAGGTTGCTACTGTGCCTCCACTGGCCCTTTGGAGGCCTCTGCATTCTTCCAGGGCTGTGATAATGCTGCAGACATTTTTGTTCTATTAAAAAGATGCCTAGAGATCCCCCTCATTCTTGATCTTTGAGGCCACTCTAGTGTTTTCTTTCCCTCGTTATCTTCCAATAAAGAAGGCACTTTTACTTGGCAGCAATCAGGATCAGGCTTTGCAAGGTAATCTCTGGCAGACCTCCCACTGCCAGCAACATCAAAGGCCATAGCAAAGGGAGATGAGCTTCTTTGAAGCCCCTAAAGTTACATTTTTATGGCTGTCACATTCAGGAAAATAGTACAGAAGAAGAGTAATTGGGCTAAGGGTTTTAAGAGCTACGATGGCACAGTGGTTAGAGTGCAGTACTGCAGACTACTGCTGCTGCCTGCTGGCTGCCTGCAATTTGGATGTTCAAATCTCACCAGGCTCAAGGTTGACTCAGCTTTCCATCATTCTGAGGTGCATCAAATGAGGATCCGGATTGTTGGGGGCAATAAGCTGACTCTATACACTGTTTAGAGAGGGCTGTAAAGCACTGTAAAGCAGTATATAAGTCTACGTGCTATTGCTATGAAAGATTCTGAGAAAGTGGCTGATATTTGAATGGCTTTGATGAATATGCAGGTAGACCTCACTCACTGAGGTCTTATGCAGCAACCATTTGAAGTTACAATGACGCTAAAAAAAAATAACTGCAACCAAGGTGCACATTTATGACCCTTGCAGTTTCACTCAGTTTCACTTTTATCATTACAGTCATTACTCTTATCCTGTGCCTGACTCATTTTTTTCTCCTCCCACCCCAAGAGACCAGAGCAATTGCCTAAACAAGGGATTTCTTCCTGAGTTGCTTTGCTTTAGAGCCCAGCTTCAGTTGCTGCCTGAAATTGACAAGACTCTAATCCATTTCACACTAAAGACTTTTGTTTGCCTCCTAAGCAGCTTGTTTGGCAAATAGCTAAGTGTTCCGATCCCCCTCGTCCTACACCAAAGCATGCTGAGACAAAGATACTGCAAGGATTTATTGACACACAGACAGGACCTGTCAGCAAGCCAGCACAGACTAACCTTGGCAGCAATCCAGCCTGCCAAGCTAGCCACAAAAGTTCTCCAACTTTAGTGAAGACGTTGAATCCTGCAAAGGGGCGTGTGCACAATCATTCCTTTTATAGTCTTGAGAGGACCCTAATTACCACCAGCTGAGTGCAATTACTTCCTGTAACTGTGTAACTGTTCCTTACGCCTATTAGCTCTTTGTTGTCGGGCATCCAGGAATAACTCCCTTGGCTCCTCCCCTCTGCTCCAGTGCATGATGTCCGGATCATGCTCCCTTGTCTCCTCCCCATTGGTCCAAGGCTCACGCGCCTCCTGGTGGCCAACCAGCCTCTCTGCGCCCTGCTTGGAGTTGGAACCCTGCCCAGGGTCCTCCACATCTTCCAGAGCCAACTCATAGGGCCCGTCGCTGTCAGAGTCTGGGGGCAGCTCCAACGACTCCTGCTGGGCCACAACATCTAAGGCATTCCTTTCCATGTATACTCCCTGTTATATGCCTGCTTACTCTCTCATAATCCCTTCCTCTCCAATGAATGTAAATACAAGCATAAATGCCTTTCTTGCTAATTATCCCAGCACCAGGATGAGCATGCCAAAGACAGGGGAGAGGGGAAAAGGGAAAGCTGAAATAAGCACAGTCTCAATCATATGATTTTTGCATTTACCAACTGCATCACAATCACAATTGTGGGTCCAATTGTGGTCACTAAACAAGAACCAATAATTAACACTTTAGCTCACTAAGGGACCCGAATTTAGTTACTTCTGGGTAGAATCAGAACTTCCCTATTCTTGAAGTATTTTTAGCTTGCTGACTATCATGAGAGTGCATTGTATGATCACAAGGAAAGAGACCTTTCTTTGGAATAGTGCCCTGATTGTGCAGAAACCTCTGTTTGGAAATGTAGCAGCTATACACTTCTTTTTGACACTAGTTATAAATCCATTTCTCAGATACATTTAGGTAATTTACACGAGCAATTTACTTTAATGTCTTTTGAGATTTCTTGAATGTTGAAAGTTAATACTTTATCATATTAACTTTAATAATACATTAGGATTTTAAAAATTATATTTCTGTATATAATAAAGACTGTTTAAATAAAAAAAAACCAAGAGAATAAATAAGGAAAGTCCAAACTAGGCATGACGATAAATATGTCTTGCATTTATTGCATTAATAAAATTCTTTGAAGCAAGTGTGGAACAGGACAATCCATTTTGCCTCTTGTCTTAGTGTCCTGAACAAAATCCTTGTCCTGAACTGCTCTTTGTATTAATATACAAGTATTTATTATTGGCACTTAAAGGGATAATTTTTTTTTTCACAATCCAAAAGAATTTTCATCAGAACCATAATAAGGAGGGAAAGGTTAGCTCCCGTTCTGCACTTGCTGAAATGCCAAAAATAATCAGTGTTCCCAAAGGCAGGGGTTCTTTTAGAAAGTGTGCATTACATTCTGAGATGCATTTAACACATCTGATCTTCAGAGGAGTTTGGCAGCTGCTGCTAACTGCCAGGTTGGTCTGTAAAATGCCACCCCGCCCCTTACCTGCAGTTTAAGCATTGCTACTGTGTGT